TGAGATAAATCAAAGATCAAACACATGTATGGATAGATTTAAACCAATAAATTAACAAATTTTTATGTTAACATATAATAAACAAAATTTAAAGGCAAATGACAACATTAAGAATAAACACTTGTGGCATAATAAAGGAAAAATATCTTTCCATATAAAGCTCATATAAACTGATAAAAAGAACAATAGTCAAATTTTTAAGATGGGCAAAATGTAATGGTAATTAATAAAAAATACAAATAGCTAACCAACATCTGTATGAAAAAAATATTTATCCCCTTAATGATAAAAAAAAAGTAAAACTGCCTATCACATTGTTATATTAGGCTGTGGGCATGGTGAAAAAAGGTCCCATGCACTGCTAAAGGCAGTGAAAACTTTATGAAGAGTAATTCAGCAAAACTTCATGCAAAAAACAAAAACTTAGAACTTTTTTGGCATATGTTTTTGCTAAGTCCCTATGCATTGTCCACATTAGGAGGTATACAGAAGGGGAAAAATAGCAAAGTGGCTCTCATGAAGTTTTCAACTTTGTCAGGTAAATGAAGATAATTTCAGATAGAGACCAAGGCTACAGACGAAATGTAACCCGTGTAAAAGACAATGACTGTGGGAGGGAATGCACTACGATACTTTAGGTGAAGAAGGCCTCTGAGGTGACCATTCATTCATTCACTTATTAATTAATTGCCTTGTACATGTCAGGTACTATTCTAGGTACTGCAGCTCCTTGACGTGAAGAGACAAAAGTTCCAGCCCTCATGAAGCTCACATTCAATAGAGAACACACAGACAAACCACAAGCGTGGGGGGGAAAAGTCATAATGTGTTAGAAGAAAATAAATGCTAAGAAAACAGGACTGAGAAGTATAAGGCTGTGAAGCTCACATTCAATAGAGAACACACAGACAAACCACAAACGTGGGGGGAAAAAGTCATAATGTGTTAGAAGAAAATAAATGCTAAGAAAACAGGACTGAGAAGTATAAGGCAGTGAGTGATGTAATTTACATCAGTCAAGGTAGGTCTCATTAAGAAGGTGACATTCTAGTGAAGAATTAAGGGAGGTGAGGGACAAGGATGTGAAGGAGCTCTGAAGTGCTGGGATTAGGCGGACAATAACCCCAAGGTGAGAATAAAAGGTTCTGGGAGTCTGGTGAACTGGGGGGAAAGGAAGAAAAGGTTTTCCGGGGAGTTTGGATTTGATTCCAGCTGCAAGGGGAAGCCCTGAGCAGTCTTAATCAAGAGAAATGGGGGAGGTGATCTGATTGCAGGGGGAAAATGTGCCAAGTGGAAAGGCTAGTTAATAGTTTTTTCTGTAGTCTAAATGAAATTGTATGTATAAAGAAACGTTCTTTAAACCAATGTGTGTGCCTTCTAACTCAATTTAATCTCTCGGAATTTATCCTTAGAAAACAATCTCTCTCTCAAAGCAATTTTCCTGGCCTCCATATCCTTCTGAATCAAGCACGGGCGTGTACCACACACACTCACAGTGACACACAGACTCGTTTTCTTTCCAGGTGTCCTCATTAACCAAATTATTTCTATCACCTTCCCTCCTCCCTTCTTACTGAGAGCCAGAAAGCTTTCATCACACCTATACAAACAGGAGGTGGCAAGTTGGTTTTGTTGAACAAAGACATGTTTGCCTGTAGGTAAAGCGAAAAACGAGGGCTGAAGGGTTAGTAGCAAAGCTTTTTAATCCTGCCACTTAAAAAGCCTTTAATGTATTTTGCTTTATTTCTTTTCATTCATCTTGCCCCATCACCACCCTGCTTTATTTTTAACCATTTCTGAAATCCTCTTCTACCACATATATTCTTCTGGCATTCTGGCATGGTTCTGGGATGTTTGAAGAAGTTGGACCCTCTCCATCTTTTTTTTTTTTTCCTTCCCTAAATACTCTCTCTCCTCCCACCCCTCCCTCCTTCTCTCCCCTCAATCTTTAGTATATCTGCTTTGTGAATTTAAATTTTGAAAATATTAAGGGTGCTTAGAGAAAAAAATTCATGCCTATTACATGAGCCAACATTTTTGTGGTATTACTACCAAGTCAAAACTCACTCTTGATCATAAACCACCTACAGAGAAAAGGCTCCCAGCCCAGACTGTAAGTGCCAGGAAGAATTGCCTGACATCCTCCTCTCACTGTGTCTTTCTTCATAAATAGTCAGAACTGAGTCTCGACACATATGAGACCCAGGGAGTGACAGATACTCAAAGGTAAATATTGCCATATTGCTTGGTGAGACTCTGAGAACCCAAGAACATTCCAATTTTCCTCTACAGTCCAGTGGATATCCTGGAGTTGGAAAAAAGCCTCTGGGCTCTTCTAGTTCCACTTCAGGGCAACAGCCTACAATTCAGCGCACACACATGCCAGGCGCCAACATAAATAAGGCAAAGAAAAACAAGGTTCTATCCCAAGACTGAAAAACCTAGTCTTGCAAGAAGAAAATTAAACCTTTATTACCATCAATTACAAGTTCTTTTTATAAAAAAAAAATTACTTCATTGAATGTGTACTATTTCTTGAAATGAGACTGTAGAGGTGGAATTTAAATCACAGTTATTTAAAATTAATGTTAACTGAATTTTTAAAAATTTCTTAGAAAATACATAGTGGGTTGCATTCTCTACTCCCAACAGGTTTTCTTTTCTTTCCTTCTGAGATGCAACTGAAGACCTGTTCCTAAAAGCTGCTCTAAATCAACTGAGCATTTATCTTACTGGAACAAGTAATTACATTCACAGAGCTTGTGACTGAGGTCAAGAAAAAGGGAATTCGTCGAATATACTGGGATGTCTCTCATTTCTTCAATTTGCTAAGTCCAAAGGCACCTTTGGACTGAGAAGTCTGCCACGCATGGTTCAGGTGCCAGCAGCTCTCTGGCCCACTGACTCTGCAATCAGCTTCTCCTTCCCCCAATCGAATATACTGGGATGTCTCTCATTTCTTCAATTTGCTAAGTCCAAAGGCACCTTTGGACTGAGAAGCCTGCCACGCACGGTTCAGGTGCCAGCAGCTCTCTGGCCCACTGACTCTGCAATCAGCTTCTCCTTCCCCCAATATCCTCATTCAGGCTTTATCCTTGACTCTTCCTTCTTTCCTTACACATATTCCTCTGATGAAAACTTTCTGAGCAATTACAAGAGAAAATATTCTGTAACGTATTCATAGTTTAATATTCATATTAACAAATACATACATTATTATGTATGCTATACCCTAGAGAAATTAATAATCTGAGGAGACACATATGTAAAATGCTGTTATGAGCAGAAGAGATGAAAAGTGACATAAGAGAAATGAAGCACTCCAAGAATTCATGATTCTGCTCCATTGCCTAGTCCTGTTATTCCTTAGTGAATTCTTTTTATTTACACGGCTACCACAATCTAATCAGATATATTTACCAGATCTGTTTTGATTTAATATTAAACTAAATGATCTCCCTTTCTTTAATCTTCTCCCACCATGCCCTCCAGTCTGTGAATAGTGTATAAAATAAAAGAATTAAGTTCTTTCCTTGCTCAAAGCAACTAAAGTAGTGCAGTTGCAAAGTCTTTCAGAGTCCAGCCCCAACATGTCTTCCCAATCTTTTCCATATTTCTCCTTCTCTCCATGACCCCTCTATGAGAAATTTGTCTGGAAATGCAACTTGGTATGAAATCACTTAGAGCTATGAATTCCCAACCAGTCACTGCTTTTTATCAATGGGGGTAACAATCTCAAGAAACCACAAATGCTAACATTTGTCAATTCCCTAGTATAAAAAGCAAGTGGTTGGAGTGGGTAGGTGTTAAATACAGCATAGTCCTAACATTTCATCATATAAAATATTCACAGAACTAAAAGTCCTTTGGCATGCATAAGTATTTCTGAACATATACAAAGGAGAAATAGCTTCCTTATACTTTAACAATGCTCATTTTCTAATCTGAATGAGACAATTCAAAGAATGTATTGGATGGCCACTATTAACACCACTTACTGACCCCTATCATGGGTAACCCTCCCCTTTCTAAGTGCTTAACATGGACTGACCTGCACACTCATTGCAATCATTCATTCAGCTTAAACCACAGAAATGAGTTTTATGATCTCAGATCCCAGCCTGCTAGCCATCTCAACCTCAAGTCCAGATTCACTTTTAACCTATATCTGCACATCCCCAACTTTGACTTTGACTCATGTTGCCAAGCAGATGGTCCTGGGTCACTCTTCCTCATTCCTAGAAGATTTTAGTGGTCATTTTCTTCAACATTATTCCTGTCATAATTCTTGCCGATTTGAATAGCTATACAGATGATAATTCCAGCACTGAAGATTCTCAGTTGCTCAACTTTCCTCCAATGATCTTGTCTTCCACTCGACCTTGGTCACACATGTCCATGGACAGCTCTTAGTGACCTAGTCATTAGCAATAACTCCAAGCCTTCCATAATGTCAATTTCAAACACATCTTTCTCCAAGCACAACCTTCCATCCTTTCAGCTTCCCCCAACACTCCTCTATTCTTTGAGACTTGTAATGCATCTATCCTACTACCTTTTCTTTTGTCCCAAATGTAGTTGGATAGATTCTTTCATCTCATCCTTACTTCATTCCTTACCTATCTTCAGTTCCAATGATCCACCATTCTAATCACTTCTTCACACACACTCTAAACTCCCGCATATGTCCACACACTTGGGAGAACCCCACTCTGATTAAACCCACTCTCCACCTGCTCTGCATCTACAGTAGTATCTCCAGAGGAAAACATACAACTAAGCTAACTGGGAACTCTCTCTCTAAATTCATGATTATTCATCGATTTGAATAGCTATACAGATGATAATTCCAGCACTGAAGATTCTCAGTTGCTCAACTTTCCTCCAATGATCTTGTCTTCCACTTGACCTTGGTCACACATGTCCATGGACAGCTCCTAGTGACCTAGTCATTAGCAATAACTCCAAGCCTTCCATAATGTCAATTTCAAACACATCTTTCTCCAAGCACAACCTTCCATCCTTTCAGCTTCCCCCAACACTCCTCTATTCTTTGAGACTTGTAATGCATCTATCCTACTACCTTTTCTTTTGTCCCAAATGTAGTTGGATAGATTCTTTCATCTCATCCTTACTTCATTCCTTACCTATCTTCAGTTCCAATGATCCACCATTCTAATCACTTCTTCACACACACTCTAAACTCCCGTATATGTCCACACACTTGGGAGAACCCCACTCTGATTAAACCCACTCTCCACCTGCTCTGCATGTACAGTAGTGTCTCCAGAGGAAAACATACAACTAAGCTAACTGGGAACTCTCTCTCTAAATTCATGATTATTCATTTCAGGGGACTTTATGCTGCCCTGCAATCCCACTATATCTTCCTAGTCAATTCACTATGTCATTTTCTTTTGCTATTATTATTTTTTCAGTTGTGTATGGGGTACAGTGTGTTGTTTCAATATATGCATACATTATAATGATTCACTCTGACATTTTTCTGGAGTATTTCATACTTTCTTTTTCATAAAACCAAACCCTCTCACACAAACCCTTCTTTCATCTGCTGAGAAAATAGAAACAATCAGAAGAGAAATTTTACACACTCCCATCCCCATATGTACCCATACACCTGCACACCTGCCTCTGTATCTAAATATTGTGTCTTCATTGTGTACAGATGAACTGTACTCTGCTCCTAAGATCAACCCCTCCTTGTAGGGCACTAGATCTCATCCCCTTTCTTCTATCAAAGGTCATTACTATAGCAATTATGCCTTCTTGCCCTTCTTCAATTTTCTTCCAACTCTTCCTAGTTGACCACTGGAGTTGAGTGTATTTGGTGGGGGGTGGGGGGATAGGGCAGATGTAGGTGAAAAGGGAAAGCCTCTCCCTACAAGTCTATTACAGACTTCTAATCTCCGATTGTTGTTAGTTTTTGATTAAAATCAAAATTCTATTAGCAAACAGACACTGGCAGTAACAAGAGAGTTAAGAAAGATACTAACCCTGATGCTGGTCTTGGTCATCTCATACCCAGATCTTTACCTAGTAAGACACCTAAAAGTCTAGGGACCTTTGTTAAGGTAGGAGTAAATAGCTCAGAGTTTAAAATAATTTTGTGCACTTCTCCAATACTTAAGCACTTGTTCACAATCACAAGATGTTTTTTTAAACCAGCAACAGTGTACCTATGGGGTAGAAAAGATCCCCAGACAATTACAACTCTCCTCTCCTTCAGCTTAAACTACCAAGCAGAAGGAAAACACAATTGAACCCAGATATCTAATGCTTTTTGCTAACTTCTTGCTGGATATATTAACGGGATAATGTAAGCATTTATTACCTGACTCAGATGCACTGTCTGTTGAAGGCCTGAGTGGTGACAATTGTTTTGTTAAGGTTTTGCTTTTATTATTTGCCTGAAGTGAAGCAGGACCTATATTTGGAGAGAATATGTTGCTCTTTTCTCTCCATCAAAGACAAAAATACTATTCAACAGCATCAAGAAGCTCATATAGAAGGGAAGTTATCTTATCAGTCCTACCCCAAAATACTTGCTTTGTTTAAATTAAATTATAAGCAGAAAGGAAGATTTTGAAGAAAAGTGATATTGTTATTAAGGGTCCCAAAATATATACATTGCACATATCCACCTATTAATTAGCACTAACATCTTATACATGTCTCTCCAGGCTCAATGTGACGTTGGTGGCAACACCCAACCATGCACTTGTTTTTGTGTATTTCCATTTACATCACGTGCCCCACTCGAGCGCAGGCATTACATCATACCCATCTTTGTATCCTAGGGGCCGTAGTACAATACCTGACACATAATAAATGCTAAATAGATGTTTCGTTAATAGATGAAGTGCTCTGAAGAAGATACATCAAAAACAAGCCTTAAAACATACGATTTTCATTATTTTTAAGGTAATCTTTCCAATCAGGCCTTTTGGAAAGAGGGAGATGGACACAAATGCATGTAAGACCAAACTAAATACTTTAATTTTCTTATAAAATAAATTGAGCTGAGGGCACATGTTTGAGATCTGTTTATTTTATATGGAGAATTTCAAGAAGGAACCCTAAATTGGGAATAAAGAGGTAGAATCTCTAGTCTGTAATGTAAAACAATTAACATTTTCTCTGGGCCTCATTTTTTTCATATAAAGTAAGGTTATACTCGAGAACCCATTCCAGTTTGAAAATAATGCATTCTCTCAGGATTTTGGGGTTTTTTAAAAAGTTTTTTAATCATTCGGTCTTTCAGTGCCAATACACAACCAACACATAATTTTTCAGGTAATTCCAAATATCCCATGATATAATGAGCCTGTCTAATTTATTGCCAACACTTATCACAGGGTCTAGCATATGGTAAATATCACAAACAAATGGGTATTTTTTATTTAAAAAATTCAGTACCTATGGGGCCGGCCTGGTGGCACACTGCTACAGTGCGCCGCTTGGGAGCGTGGTGGCGCTCCCGCTGAGGATTCGGATCCCACATACAGACCGGTTCCTGCTCACTGGCTGAGCGAGGTGTGGGAGCAACACCGAGGGTTGTGATCCCGTTGCCGGTCCCAGTCCGGTACAGGCACGACACTGAGGGTTGCGATCCGTTGCCGGACACGAAAAAAGACAAAAAGGAAAAAAAAAAAAATTCAGTACCTACTGTGAGCCAGGCTTACCAACTGAGCAAGACAGAGTATAAACAAGAAAGACGGTGAATAGTAGCTATAAAGGAAACATTCAGAGCAAATGGTGGAGAATAAAGGCAGGTATATGCTGGGCCTACATGTGCACATGTGTTTGCAGTTGCAATGACATTTGAGCTGATACATGAAGGATAAGAATGAGCCAGATTTTCAAAACCTGGAGGAATAGTATTTTATGCAGAAGACACACCTGGGCTAAAAGCCCTAAGATAGGCAAGACATGGCAATTTGGGAGGTTAGAAGGCAATCAGTGTGGCTGAAACATAGTTAGCGAGGAAGAAAACAGTATGAAATAGATCAGAAAAGTTAGCAGGGACAGGACATACTATCTATCACTGCATAGGTCAAAAGAACTTGGAATAAAAAATCTAAGATCAGGTGAGCAAAGAACAACAGTATTCTACAGCACACATCTAACCCCCCATGTCTCCACATTCCAACATTGTTATTTTGGCCTTCCTGAATGAGAAATTACATTAGCAGGTTCATTACCTCTGAGCACACATAGGAGGGTAGAAACGAATTACCTGATAGAAGTATTAGAGTTCATTTTGTCAAAGCAAGTTTCTAAAGTCACCCTTTTAGTAATTCAGTGTTCTTTGTAAAAGAAAGCTAGCCTCTTTCACTTGTCAGAATCTCAGCTTCTATTTTCCTTTCCTTATATTGCCAGTGAATTTGGCCAAAGTGACAGTTGTATGTAGCTGAAATAATAGGTGCCAACTGAGATCATGATATTTGGATCACCTATGACATGGATCTCTCTAAACCTCCCTCTTATTCTTTTCTTGCTCTGGACACAAATTAGGACCATCCCTTAATGTTAGATGCTGTCAAATATGACAGAGACAACCCATCTGTTTGTGACTTCTGTGATTCAAGGCATAAAGAAAAACCATCCCTTGAATTCCACTATGGACTAAGGGGAAGAATGAACACATTAATTTAGAGTACTTTTCTGTCTGATTTTTATAAGATAGCATTTATGTACTCCAGCAGACAGTAGGCGTGCCTTTCCCATATCCCTCAGATCTCATAGTCCACGTCTCGCTCTGTGCCTGGCGGCTCCTCCCCACTCTCCAGCCCCACTCATGAGTCAGTCCAAACTGTGGGAAATGCTGAGGAATTAACAACACCCTTCCACGGTAGTCCTCAAACTATGATATCTGGGAAGTAGTGTATAAATATCCCAGCTTCCTCACTCCTCAGCTGGGATAAATGTGCCACATGTATTCTGCACCACTGCCCAGAGTTTCCCTGCAGGACTGAGCTCGAGTCCCTTGTGGTGGTAGCTGGCATCATCACATCCTAGACTGGCTGCCTCCTGTCCCCTGTACCATTCATTGGCTTGCTGTCTTACCGTTGATACCCACACTTCCTAAAACAGACCATCGCACTTGAATCCTTGTCTCAGGGTCTGCTTCTGGGGAATGCGAATTAACATATGCAACATTAAGACAAATTTAAGTAGTGTTTGTCACCATGAAAGGAAGGATTTAACTACAATAAACTCATTCAGTGTTAAGAGGGGGACTCCTCCTCTCCTGTTTTCACGTGGAAGGACTTCCATCTAGATTAATTGCCGGTTGCTTCTCCCCATGGAGGTGGCGTCCATTGGTTCATGTTTCTTGACTGAGTTGGGGTGGGGGTGGAGGAACTATCAAAAAGCTGCAAAAGCAGATGGATTCTTTCCTCCCTCTCTACCTCTGACCAGTATGAGTAATAAGATGTGGGTCTGCCCTACAAACCCAAACATTCCCTTAAGTGAACTGCCCCAAATCTAGACTAGGGATTGGAGGTGAGCATGCAGAGTACTGGAAACGCTTAGGTTGTACATCTAAAGTCACATTCCTCAGTTGACTTTTTGAATATTAGAGCTGGTATTCTGCAATCCATTCATCCATATTCTGTCTTTTTCTTAGTTGATTCTGAACTTGCCAATAGCGTGCTTGCCCAACTGACATGTGAATAGATCTAGACAGCTTTGTGCTGCTATAATCTCACTGAAATCAAACTATTGCTTTGTGATTTTTCACTGAATATAAAAAACACTTTTTCAGAGGTTCTTGTCCTCTTTGTGACTATCTTAATCTGCAATGGACAATTGAGAGTACACAGGAGATTAGTAATAATTTAAGACAATAAAACTTTTAAGTCATAAGTAGGATGCATAAATTTAGAACCCTTATTGCTCATTTTCCTTTTCCCAAAGCCTTACGTGTATCTGAACACATCCTCCCGCTCTCAGGCCTGGTTAGCGAAGCTGCCTTCTCCTACATTCTCATGGGCTTCTCTGTGTCTGCACTGGCCTTTCCGGCTGCACAGCTGCTGCTGGCCATTCCCAGTCACCTCAGCAATCTTGGATTAAGTAACTTACTTTTCCTGTTCCACTGGCCTTTGTGTAGGGATGTGGTGTGATGTTTGAGGTACAGGTCAAGTTGCTTATCTGTGGCTTTCACAGTGGTTTCCTCCTGCCTAAGGAGACTCTCAGCAGATGGCAACTTTCTATCTTCCTGTGCAAAATCAGAATCCTCTCACCCTACAGAAATCTTTCCCTCCAGACGGTGCAAAGCCAGCACAGAGCATCTTCTCGGTGATCTCTCTTGGAAGAGCAGAATAGTAAGTGCATTCACAGACCCCTTTCTACCACAGGCACTTGAATCTGCTGTAGGCAACTTGCTAGGCCATCATCTAATTAAGAAACAGACTTAGAGAGACAGCTGGATGAAGCAAGCAACAAGTGACGTACAAGAAATACGTAAGTTCAGACCTGCTCTGTACCAACATAATTGCAGTCATTCAGTTTTGCCTGAGTTGATGTAGAATGCTGAATAAAAAAATACAAGTGTTTCATGCCTCATGTCTTCATTTGTACATTTGGCATCTTTTAAAGGGAGGACATTAGCAGGAGAACAAGACTAGAAACATTTTTTCTAGCTTATTTCTTATTTAAATTTTAGTATATCAAATATTGCTACATAAGAATTTAGAAAAAAATTTAGCAAGAAATGGCATTATATGTGACTTATATGGTTACAAATATATATTTATTTAAGTACATATTATTTAAATATACACTTATAAATATATAATATATGCTTATATGATATCCTAATATAAACCAAAATCATATTCTTCTTTTTCCTCTATGAGGGTAGTTCAAAAAGTTCATGGAAAAATGGAATTAAAATATGAATCTTTCTATGAAGTTTTTGAAGACCCCATGAAGCCTAATCTCGTCTCCAATTTACATTAATACTATTGACGAACACTAAAGAATTTCTTCACATGCGGGACCCTCAGGCAGGCCTATGTTAACATGTGCTCTGCATGACTTATTCTATCATTGTGGATTTATGGCTAGTTAAGAAAAGTTAAGTTTAGTATTTTGTAGCCCTACAAAATAGGAAAAATAAATTGGGAAAAATAAAAATTACATTTATGCAGTACCTTAATATTTATAAAGTCCTTTCTTCCAACATTGTGAGGTAGGTTAATAACACTGATCTCATGAATGAAAAAAGCCAGACCTCTGAAAATTTGATCTCATAGATCTTATGGGACAGAACTAACACTCGAGCCTAGGTCTAATTCTTAATCTTGCATTCTTTTCAATGTACTAAATATCCTCTTTTCAGGGACCATCCCTATCAATGTGGCTGGCCATGTCTCAAAACTCAAGAATACATTTGTCACAACTAGCAACTGAATTCATCTTCTATAAGACTGTAAGCACTTCTCAGTAATCCGGTCATCATGGTGTTGGTGAAAACTGAAGGTGTTAGAGAGCAGGCATGTTTATTCAAGTGCTTTGAAGTCAGTAAGTAAACGAATATTGACTGAATGGTTCCTCTATGCCACGTACATTTCTAGCCCTGGAGAGAGAGATCTGCCTCCAAGAGGCTCCCACTCAAACAGGTCAGAGGTAGAAAATGGTGACATAAAGTAATGCCAAGTACATTTAAGTGCAATAAGATGATAAAACTGGGTAGTGCAGAATATGACAGAAGGGCAGTCCCACTGCAGCAATGTAATCAGAGAAAGGAAGTGACGTTGCAGTTGAGAACGGAATGATGAGGACGTAGCTACGAGAAGACCTTAATAAGAGGGTTCCAAGTGGGAGGAAATGAATTGCAGAATTTCACAAAGCAGAACAAAGTTGGTATTTAAGAGAAAGAAAGAAGGCCACGGTGCCTAAAGGTTAACCAAGGGGACAGAAGAAATGATGTTGGAGGGTAAGTGGAGGCCAAATCACATAGAGCTTTCCAAGCCAGGCTAAAGAGTTCATGTTTTATTATTTTTTTTTCTTTTAATTTTTTTTTTTACAAATAGAGTTCATATTTTATTTTAACTGTAATAACAAGCCATTCAAGAAAGAACTGAGCCATGCTTCTCTTCAATCCTAGCTTTGATATTTATTAGTCATGGGATACTAGCAAGTTACTTAAACCTTTGGGATGTAACCTCCTCGTTTGTAAAACTGGTATGATAAAACTCCTAAGATGGTGGGTGTGAGGATTTTATGAAAATGTAATTTGGCTGCAGGTAGCTGTTAACATGAACACAGTAAGCAGTCAAAGATAAATTCCCTTCTCCTTCAAGCTCACAGATTCCAAATAAAGAACACAACAAATATACAGAGAAAATGGTCTTATACAGGGAAAGAAAAACAAATTTAGGTCTTTAAGAACTCTATAATCTAGCCCAGGGGTTAGCAAACTATTGCCAGAGGGTCAATTCTATACCATCCCCAAAATCAGGCCTATTTTGTACAATTCATGAAATAAGAATGGTTTGTACATTTTTAGGTGATTACAGAAAATCTAAAGAAAATTTCATGACACATGAATATTATGCACAATTTAAGTTTCATACATAAAGTTCTGCTGACACGTAGCCATCCCCATTTTGTTCCACATTCTCCATGGCTGCTTTACACTACAATGGTAGAGCTGAGTATTTGCAACAGAGACCATATGGCCTGTAAAGTCTAAAAGACTTGTTATCTGGCTCTTTTTTAAATTTATTATTTACTTATTTTTGTTTTATTAATATGTATATTTTTTACATTCTATGTTGTTGCAGAGCAGTTGGGAGGGAGGGGGAGAGGGGAAAGGGGAAGGAAATGGGATGGAAGGAGGAGGAAGGAGGGAGGAGGAAGGGTGGGATTGAGGCCTGTGGCACCCCCCTCATTCCCACAGGGGAGACTGGGGGGCTTCCAGTGGTGGCTTGGTCCTTGCCGGGCTGGGTGCAGATGTCAGGGGAGTGTGGCAAAAGCCCTCGTCCCCCACCTCCCCAGCTCAGGAGGAGGAAGGGTGGGATTGAGGCCTGTGGCACCCCCTTCATTCCCACAGGGGAGACTGGGGGGCTTCCAGCAGTGGCTTGGTCCTTGCCAGGCTGGGTGCAGATGTCAGGGGAGTGTGGCAAAAGCCCTCGTCCCCCACCTCCCCAGCTCAGGAACCTGGGGCCATTCTTGCTGAGGCTCAGTGGTCATCTCTGGGTTTGTTGCTCATGTTGGGGGGGCGTGACCTAGGCCCAAGGCCCCCCACCACTCCAGCTTGGGAGAGCCCGGAGCGCTTCCTGCAGCGGTTCGGTGGTTGTTGCTGGGGTGTTTGTGCTTGTTGGGGGGTGTGACCAAGGCCCCCACCCTTGGGACTGGATGTGGATGTTGGGGGGCATGGCTGATCCCTGGCCCTCCCCCGTTTCTGGCTTGGTAGCCCAGGGGACTTCTGGTCCTTCTAGGTGTTACAGGTGTTCTTTGGTGAAATGAGAACTTTACTAGTTAATATCAAACTTTGTCTCTGGTTGTGTACTTTGTTTTTTCTTTCAGTCCTGTGTTGGATTATTTGCTGTTTCCACCATTCAAACTCTGTGCAGAGCTAATTTGTTGTCCCTTGCTTACTTCTAAAATGGGGGAACTTCCTGTGGGGACCAGCATGTGAGCTCTGTGGTTGAGCTAAATTGTTGCTTTGCTGCTGTTGCCTTCATGCACTCCATAGGTCTCTCCTCTTCCCCTGAACTCTAGAAGCCCCAGTTTGGCTGTCATTGCATTTTTATAGTTGTAAGTTGGTTGATTTGTGGCAGAGAGTGACACTGGGGACTGTCTATTCCAACATCTTGACCGGACAATTATCTGGCTCTTTAAAGGTTTGCTGACCTGGATCTAATCTGTTTATAATCTAACT